CCAACGAAACAAAATATTTTTTTTTACCAATCGAAAGCTTATGGAGTTCACTACAAGACATCTCCCCAAAGTTTTTAAATTCCATCCTTTCTTAATTTTTTGCCATCGATCTACAAACGGTTACTCCAGTGACCAAAGGGGGGTAAAGGGTTAATAACATGTCTATAATGGAGCTTCTTTAATAGTAATTGCTAAGTCTTTATAAAATTCTCGAACTTGGTTTTTAGTATCCCACAAGTGTTCTCGATCACCAGTCAAGATCCATTCACCCCTGAAATAAAATAAAATTTACACAAACATTGAACATGCTGATTACTCTAGACAAAGGGTTTTTGAAAATTCTTACGGAAATCTTATCCTAATCTCATAATAATCTTATATAGAAAAACGCGCGAAAGTGCCACGAATTCCGTAAGAGTCTTATAAGAATTTGATAAGAGATTTGTGTAAGAACTTCTTAAGAAAGTGATAAGACTTTTCGCGTTATTCTTAGCTATCTCGATGTATAGTAATGAGTGTAATAACTTGCTATCCGACGGTGACTCATGTGAGTACTATACAAACGGTTCCGTTGTGATTGATTCTAGTGCCTTATCAAGACAAGTATGTAAAGGATTTTAATGCACATTAATAGTACTCGAGCTGCTCTCTCTTCTACCACTTAGAGAGTCCGAATTATACGTCGGTAGCGCAAAGTGTCCACTCTCGATTGCATTACAGATTTTGGTTAAACTATCTCTTTGGGGGTAATTTATCATATTATATTATTGTATATTATTATATTTATTTATCATCTATAATGCCAAGTTTTCTCTTTGACTTTGAGACTGTATCCAGTTTTTTAGGACTCCAAATAGAAAAAGTTATGTAACCACCAAGATTCCTTTTTTTGAGCTTGTGTTTAGAATAGCTATAAAAAAATTAAAAATTTCAAATTCAAGTTCTTTTTTGTGAGCGTATCTTGGTAGGACGAAAATTTTTATTGAGACTGGACTTTTCTTTTTGAAAAATAGATTTCTTGGTGAGAGTGACTGAAAGAAGTACTAGGAGTGATTCTGATACAAATCCAATAAAATTTTATTACTTCTGAAACCAAGCTGTTACTGAGTACTTTGCTAACCTGATATAATCGTAGCCCACATTTACTGTGCCCGGTTCTATTATCCGTGTTTTTGTTATAGGTCTTCTTCGTTTTGTAATTTGTATTGCTCACACTTCTGATATTCTACACCATTAAAATTATATTTAACTTTAAATTGTGCTTGTTTATTTTTAACACCCTCATATCATTGTTCGATATCTTTTACTGATGTTTTACCTAATTTAAATTCTTTTGATTCCGAACTACCCATAACACCAACATAAAGAAATTCCTCTATTAGATCATAAGTATATTTTAAATTACTTGTACGGATATAATCAGGTAATTGACCATAATTTTTAACAATAAACTGATCGTCTGGATGCATTTCAATTGTTGTCACATAATTTTTATCTATTTCATTAATCACCTGTTTCATACATCATCATGACATTTCGTGTATGTTGACTGATTATATATGGAATTGTAAAATAACAACTACGAGAATAATCAGGATTTTAAAATAATGTACCATCATCCATTACGAAAAATAAATATAAATAATGAAATATAAAATGATTATTACCCAGAAAGATTTTACACGAAAGCTAAAAAGAGTTAATTTTCACCAGACATCCACAGAGACCCTCAGTCTTCCTCTTCTTTTTAGGAAAACATATAGTCCTCCTTTGACGGGTATCCTACATTTGGGTGTAACCACTTCTATTGCGTCTGATGATATTTTCTGTTTATTTTTCGTTATGGATTGTTAATAATATATCTTAGCTGTGGCGGTTCCAAAGAAAATATCTGTAAAATCAATCCAGCTGTTGTCAGCTACTCGACTTTCTATAAACTGGAAAATCTCCGGGGAATTCCCATATGTACTCTTTAAAAATCGCTGAGCATTTGTCATAAATAATTTCCAACCTTACAGTGTAGCGTCAATTTAACTTTTGACTATGGTGTCATTGTATTCAATTTGTTATTATGTGCAGCACACAATAAAGTTTTATGAAAAATTATCTAAACATATTCGTGGCAGCTATTTTTACATATCACAAAGGTTGAAAACGAACGAAGTTAAATTCATCGATAATGACTTCGTAGACTGAAATTAAGACGACGCTAATTCAAAGTTGATCGGTTTGCCCCACCATAAACCGATATGTCACAATTATACGATGAACAACGTCTTTAGTAGAATCATGATCAGAGCTGCCAGATGGTCCACATTTTACGAACAAATTCTGCATTTTGGAGTTTTTTCTGTAATTTGTTCGCTGTCCGCATTTTAAGCATTTTCTACTTTTGCTGTTTTTCCCTGTTTATTGTTTATGAGCAACTGAAGATTTTGACGGGATCTCTAGAAAAACCGTCACAAGCAAAGCGACCTGGCCAAAGTCAATACCTTGAGCCTTTTGTAGCACTGGTTGAGTAGTGTGTGGGCTCACAAGATCTTGAAGAACTGAAGTGTAGTTTTCGAGGGAGGAGGTCAGAAAGGGTCAGGTCTCACGGAGCTTAAAAATTAACTTTTTGCTATTATAAAAGATCGGGGTTAGACATCGGGCTAAATGTTAGAAAACGCTTTATTCTACACACATCAGCGAAAAAATATAATCAGTTAACATGTTTTCTTGTGTTAAATTCTAGCCCTTAATATATGACTTGCAATGAAAAGTAGAGTGGCAGGATAAAAATGTATAATGATTGATAAGCAGAAGCATCATTACATAAATGATCTTGACAATAGTAAAACGTTTTCTTTATCGTCGTACAAGTTGATGGAGCAAGATCTCTTGTGATAATGTGTACAGTACATGTCCGACCGCCACTGCACGACTCTTGATAGGAATTGATTTGTTTCTAAAACATAGTAACATGAATCAGTACATGATGTAAAGAAATTTGCCTGATAATGTTAGAAAGGTAAAGATTGTCTTAACCGACCGTGTTAGCTTATTGAAAGAAAACTTTTAGCTAAATTGCACTAGACAATACCGACAAAAATTATCGAGTGATCTCTAAACTCCTTGGAAATTTTCAGAATCCTGCCCGAAGTGAGTACAAACAGTGAATTACACCTACTAGCCAGCTAACTTTGTTACCGCAAGGGAATTTTGTAACGTTTTTTCTTCATCTTGTTGTGTCGATATACACCACAGCAAAACCCCGCAGAGATTCGCAAGACTTCTTAAATTGAAGAGAAAAGTCTTGTGAACATTTTAAGGCATATCTGCACTCTAATGATAATTGAGGTTGCTTTCGAATGAAAGGACTTTTATTTATTTCGACTCAAAAACACTGGTGACTCGACTTGACTCGACTCGAAATCGCTATGAAATGACTCGGACTCGACTCGAAAAATAGCTCGACTCGCCCAGCACTGACTTTAAACGATTTTTGATCTTCTTTAGGTATGATGTAGTGACAGTGCGGCAATACACCTTCCGGTGCAGGAAGAAAACAGATAATCATCTTGATAGCTCCAATGATTACTGTGTAAATTGTAAGTCCAAATATGAAATCAATAGTAGCTAATATATTTCTGTACGATAACGCGTGCTCGGTGTATAAATATTTTCACAAGCGTTACGGTCGAGGTGATATATAATGTCTGCCTTCACAGCTCACAAATGGTCAAATATTTTAGTCAACAAAGATTTTGATGACTTTGCAAATGATGGTAGAGATGGAAAAAGAGAGGATGCATTTTGGGATACGTATCCAGATTTGGAAGTTAAAGCAAAATAATTTGTTATTCAAGAATGTTCAGAAAAAAGGAAGCTTCATTCACAGCTGACACAAACGATAAGATTCATTGATGATCGTTTTTATGAACTGAACGTCCTCTCTATCATCCATTTATATCCTTTGTTTCTATGAGTCCAATTTATTTTTAATGTCTTTCTCTCATTTGTGAGAGACATTCTACCGGATTGAAATGGTGACAGATATTCAAGATACGAGCAGACAACTGTGATTATTGTATTCGGTTATCCCTGTGGGAGCTTAATAGACGGGTGAATATTGTTTTCTTTTCACAAATCTGAATTTATCTGAACAGATGTATTCTCATCGATGCGGAAACTTTCTCAACCGTCCAGAAACCTCGGAAAACCTTCGGTGTCGGGCTGCAGGTCCGAGGTAAAAACGATCTGATCGCAAATTCCTCTTCCATCAATTGTGTTGGCGGAGAAAGAGTACCTTTTACTCTCCATTTTTTTGACGCTTAATTTTACATCGTGCAGAGTCTAGAAAACCGTCCAGGACTGAGAAAGTAAAAGTCCTCGAAGGCTCTAAATTTGGATTTATAGGCTTTCACACATGCTGAACAAGACAGGACCAGTTAGAAGCAAATCTGAGACATTGATTGAGTATGACTTGTTGTTTCTCTCATGCGATGACTCCTCGTGACGTCAAGAAATTTTTCTGATCTAGTGATAGTAAAGAGCATGCCAAAAAACTAACATAAACCTAATTTTCTGGACCTGAGAATTGTTTTGAGCGATAGAAAGTTCTTAAACAGTCAAAAGACGTCTTTCTTGTATCACTAGAGAAGAAAACAGTGTATATGACTACTGCAGAAGTGTTTTCAAACCTGAAAAAATTAGGTTTTCGATTTTTTTGATGTGTTCTAAAACTTGGACAGGTTAGAAAAAATGTTGGCCGACTGTTACAGTCTTATCAACGATGTAGATGACTTTACTATCTCTGTTTATTCAAGAAGAAAACGAAAGTATTTATACAAGAAAAAGGTGGGTAATTTCGACATGTACAATAAAATATAAAAGGAATAAAAGATGATGCTATATTCTTTTTCCCCTGGGAAACACCGTTCAAGTAACATAGATCAAACAATATGAAGAGAGAGAGAAAAATGACAAGTAAGGGAAAAGAACATGATTGACAGAAAGAAAGAAAAGAAGGAAAAAATCCCATATGTTATATGTATGATCGATAGAGCGAACGAATATCTTCTCTGTTCGCTTACACCGACCGTCATTAGGCTTTGGATTTTACAACCTGATCACCTAAGAGACGGTGACGGCGGTCCAGTCGCCGATCTTATGTTTAAGTCTGATATTCGCACATTCATTTGATCGCTGTTATCCGTTAGTTTTTATTCAGAAACCAGATGTCTAGATAAGTTTCTCGTCAATTACAGCGTTTCACGTTTTAACTCTTATACGCCTAACCCCAAAACGTTCTAACCTTTACACTTTCTCAAAATCTTATTTTGTGGAAATGGAAAGCATATCCCATCAAGAAAGTTTGAAATTTGGCTAATCATTTGAGTAAATAAAATTGTAACCCTTCCCTTTGCACTCCTGCTACGAACGAAATCAATAAATAGTAAAAAAATTGTTTAGTTCACAACATATATGAGTAACTTAGTTGCAGCACTATTTCTTCTCGTATTCTCTTGAATGATGTCAACCGTTAAGCGTAATCATCGACGATTTAATTCTTTTCTAAGACGATAAGCAGCATTGTCGCGGTCCATCTGACGATCACGACTTCTTCTTATTCTCTGCCTTCGTTCTTCATCTCTATAATTCTGCGAGAGCGATGGTTGTAGGGGCTGTACAACCTGAATTTCATTGGCATAGGTCTGTGGATAGTGATCATCGATATAGGTGCTGCCGATTGTATCGTATATTGGTACGCCACCAGTATAAGGTTGCGGTTGTTGTGTATAAGCGAGAGAGTAAGGAGCATGTCGTGAACATGCCAACCTCAACAGGCCAAGCTTCCTTGGTACCTAGAGTGGGCTCCGTCGTTTGGTTACTCAGGTCACTTCTCATGTAGTGAAAGGGAATTGCTGTGGATTGTATGATGAGAACTGAACGCCTGCGTCTATTATCCGATTGGGATATACTTTTGGACGGACATTACCACCACTCGCAGAGCGAATTGAAGAAAAGAAGCAGAACACATATCAAGAGGAGAAGAACTGAAAGTCCTACTTACAATACGAAAGAGGAGAGAGTGCAGTATTGCTATAAAGATCGTAGTAATAGAATTTTAGCAAAATTCATACACTTTGATTTTATTATTCGAGCTTTCGAAAGCTTCTGCTTTCATCTTCCGGAAAAACAAAATGACAAAACTATTGAGAAATAGGTTCAAAGACATAAGAGAGAGAGAGATAAAGAACAAAAATGATTTGTACACTAATTGAAACGGCCGACGGATATATTCATAAATATATGTTTTGTCATTTTATTTTTCCGGAAGATGAAAGCAGAAGCTTTCGAAAGCTCGAATAATAAAATCAAAGTGTATGAATTTTGCTAAAATTCTATTACTACGATCTTTATAGCAATACTGTATTCTTTCCTCTTTCGTGTTATAAAAACTGCTCTACCTAAATCATTCCTACTTACAATATCCACTTGTTAAAGCAGTATCCGCAAACGCACCAAAGCGCTGCTACGCCGATTAAACCGCCGAGGGCAGAGCCGACTATGAGTCCAACATTGGGACCAGCACCTGAGAATGAAGAAAGAATTAGGTAACAAATGAGAGGGAGAAAAAAATTGTTGCTCACATATAGACTTACTTGCCGTTAGTGTTGTGATAGTTGTTACGTTTGCAGTTTGACCAGGGCCTTTAAACAAACGATAGGATGCGCGGGCCTTCGATCTTATGCCTCAAACCAATGGCTTGATTTTAATTACTCATTGATCGACAGTTGCTGTCTGTTTTCAAATTTCGAAGCTTTAGCAAGTAGTGGATGCGTTTTGCTAATTAAGGTGCACTCATATAGTATTTGCCATTTCCTCTTGAATAAATCATTTCTTACGTTAGACTCGCATTCTCTACATTACAAGGTCGGAAATTTGATCTTTCGACATAAAGCTTGCCAGACGTGGCTTTCTAGAAGTCGATCTTTAGGATACAGCCGTTTTTAAGGCTGAAGAACGAATTGGATTATTTGAATCAATTAGATAAAAGATAGATAAAGAAACTCGCTACAAAATGACCTTTCGTCCTATTTCGGGAACACACCTTCAACGTAGGAGTCACTGCATGAGAAAAACGACGGATTACCACAAGACCATGCTAAATCGATGTCTCAGATTTGCTTCTAACTGGTCCTGTCTTGTTCAGCATGTGTGAAAGCCTATAAATCCAAATTTAGAGCCTTCGAGGACTTTTACTTTCTCAGTTCTGGACGGTTTTCTAGACTCTGCACGATGTAAAATTAAGCGTCAAAAAAACGGAGAGTAAAAGGTACTCTTTCTCCGCCAACACAATTGATGGAAGAGGGATTCTTTCACCCTATGTAGTCCATTGCACGGTCTGTCCGATAATGAGATCAGATCGTTTTTACCTCGGATTTGCAGCCTGATATCGAAGGTTTTCTGAGGATCTTAGGGATTTATATTGTTTGACGCCGTTCTCGAGCCTCTGGTTTAAGTATAAAACGAGGTGCACTTTTTCATAGACATTCAAGTGTGGACTATCTGAATCCGGTCTCAGGAGTTTGGAGTCTTGTAAGAATCTATGCAAAACCTTTGGGAGCTCTCTGGAAACCACCAAAGACATTGATTGAGTATGACTTGTTGTTTCTCTCATGCGATGACTCCTCGTGACCTCAAGAAAATTTTCTGATCTAGTGATAGTAAAGAGCATGCCAGAAAACTAACATAAACCTAATTTTCTGGATTTGAGAATTGTTTTGAGCGGGTTTTTCTGAGGGTAGTTGAAAGACGTTTTTTTTAGAGAATTTGAAACCCAAAGTTGTACAGGATTCTCTTTAGGCTTAGAAACATGGTTCGTCGTGGAGACCTGCTTCTAAGAACGCCACTCTAAAAACGTTTTTGCTTTAAAATAAAATTGCTAGTGTAATCGTGAAGCGGAGAATGCGAGGCTGGAAAAATGCTTCTTCCAAAAGTTGGCAATTAACCAAGCGGCTGCTCTTAGCTAAAGGGTATAGAAACAATCAGCTGTTTTGTCGACCCGTGAGAAAATCATATATCAAGTCTAGACTTCACTCCTTTCTACTTACAAAGAGCTTTATCACCAGGAGCCACCACAAGAGCTACCACATCGAACGTATTTCAGTACTGGGGAGAGGTGACGGACAAACTTAAAGAAAGAAAAGAACAAAAGAAAGAGAAATACGTTATCTTATATAACCCCTTTGTACTACACACCAGAACTATTGGTGGGTTAACGCATGGGTCGCCATGGGCTGAGCCGGGTTGGGTTTGAATGTTCAATATCCTGGGTACGCATGGGAAAATTAAAATTTTTGCGCATAAATGATGTGGAGCATGAGAACACTGAAACAGTTCTATTTGAAAATCTGTAGACAAAAAGCATTCTGATTGCCTTCCAAAACAACAATATCATAGTCCTGATCTAAATGGACACAATAACGCTCGTCTGCACTTGCTTGATCTCTTGTATTTAGGAACTTATATCTGCGAACTACCTTTCTTGACTTTGAATCCGAGACAACGCTCACAACTCCATTCGCTCGGTATTCCCTAGCGGACTATCTAAAATATGTTATGAAGTTTTCTTCGATTTGATGTACAAGCTTCGTAATCTAATGTAAATCTAAAACGTTTTCCTCCATGGCTTCATATGAGCAAATGCCTTTTTAAAGTTTTATGGGCTGGGTTTGGTTGGGCATGGAAAATGCATGAGATGGGGCGAAAAATTCGGTTCAACCCACCGAGAGCCCTGCTACACACACACACCTGTCGATGGCGACGGCGCAATACACTTGCGCTCCAATTTGAGTCACATCTGGAGTCCACACTTCATTAAAAGTCCAAACAGTTGTATTAGCATTATTCGTCGTTTGTGTGAGAGAGGATCTGAGCATTGACAAGGGAGGCGAACGTCGAACGTCTTGAATCGTTGTACTGTTACACCCGGCAGTGATCGTGATTTGAAAAGTAAATGGAATGTTGACAGTTACACCCACACAGGCAGAAACATTCACCGTGCTGGTCGGCGTTGAATTACAGTTTGTCGGTCCAGTCACGACCCGTACAAGAAACTGAAGTGGTATGCTGTTGATTGCATCGGTGTTGGAACTGTCTCTGAAGTCTTCGAGCTGTAGAGCTATTGCAAAGGATGTACCAGCTGCGATTCCAGTACTATCAAAGATTAAGACGCAACTTTCAGGTGTGAGATAGGTCGAGTTATAAACAGCATGGCACGCACCACCGTATTCGTCGTAGGAATTATTCGCGGAGTTGACAATTGCCCGACAACACCTTCAAGCAAAGGATGAACTCAGTTAATATGCGTGCTGTGCAAGCCAACGTTTTTGTCCTCGGAATTTGTTTTTGAAACAGGATTAGCAAATGAGTACGTGTGTTTACCTTCACTTCCCCCTCCCTTGACTTGCGCTGGCACAAAAACTCTCTTACTTGACGACGTCGTGGCCAACATCAATAACTGGTATCGTAACATTCGTTATTCTATTTTGAAATACTAAACCCGCTGTAATGGAAACAAGATAAGGAAAGTAAGTCTGAGGCTACAGTCATTTGCTGAGTTTTTTAGAGTTTTTATACATACGCGAGAGAACCGTGCCGATAGGTGGTGTATTCAAAGTCCCATCTGGCCTCGAGGTGCTGCCAATGTAAGCGCTAAATGACCATGGAGCCGTATTATTAAAACCCGTTTGTATACCTAGTGTAATCCAAGCGTTCGCGGAATAATTGATTACAAATGAGGAATTTAGTCTGATTGTCTTTACAGATGATTTTATTCCCGATACAGAATCCATAAGTGTGCTTATATCTGTGCAAACTTCTGTCGCTGGAATGAAAGTGTAACCACCGCATGCAGTAGAAAACGAACATGCACAAAGTACGTAATGACTTCAGAACCCCTCAGAAATTATCTTCGACACCGTACATCCAATTTTGGCCAAACTTTTCGGAAGTTCCATTTACTGAGATACGGGAATGAAAAAATTTTTTTGTCTCCGAGTCTAGGAGTATTTCTAATTAAAAATCTTGGGATACAAACCATGTTTGTGAAATATTTTATCTTTTATGGTCTTCTGCAAAATTCGAGGTAAACGATCTCTTATTCCTTTGTGGTTTAGGCATGAGCCATGCCATGCTGCATGGCATCAACTTTAGCTTAGCTCGAATTTTGTAGCGGACACTTTCGACTACGTAGTCAAGTAAAAAAGCTAATATAATGCTTAGTTAAAGTTTGGTAAGATGCTCGTAGATCAAACTCAGAGTGAAATTTCTTTTGTGGCTTTATTATACATATTCTGAATCGCTAAGCCGAGCTGATCACGAATATCACCTTTTTAGTTCGAAAGAATGAAATCTTGATGCAGAAAAATGCGAAATACTGAGACCAGGTCAAAAAAGCTAAAAACTGTTCTTTTTCAGAAAATGGTTCATAATTTTTTCCCTTTACGTTTTTACTCATTCTCATTAATATTTTCAAATTCTACGTTGAAAACTGATTCTGGTGAGGTCTCTTTCAATGACCTTTGGTCAAAACTGAAATTCTGGCTGAGCTCAGAACTGCCTAAACTCAGCGGTCGATACCCTCAGCTTGCAAACTGACACATCATTCGACTCAATTTTTGATCCTGATTCCGAATATGATGTTTTTATTGTTTAAAACTTGAGTTCTGATACAGAAAGTTGAGAATTACGGGCACAATTGAGAATTTTTCGCATCTTTTTCAGAAGAAAGGAATTTTCTCAGCAATGGAAAGGAATTTTAAAAAAAACTCCCCGTACTTTTAAAGCTTATCACTTGGGCTATCTAACGGTATGTG